ATAATAATAATAGTTATTATTATTACATACCCAACATCAAGAATTTCTGTTTCTGGATTATCCAAGAGATGGTTGATAGGGGCTGAAAAATTACTTTGCCAGATATATCTGGTTAAAAAATGTCGAAAGTGTAACCTATCTGTTTCGTCTTCATCATTTGGTAGAGGATATACAACAGTTTCTACATTATGAAATCTTCTACCATCGATGTATTGAAATTCTATCTCTTTTTGTGACTTTATAGAATCAGCTTTTTCGCTTAATTTAGAAGAACAAAGGCCCATGCTAAAGATTAATTTTAAGATGCCTTACGTACAAATCAAAATTTCATTTTAATTAAACTTAACAGAAAATCATGCATTTGTGTGCCCAAATGATAAGAATATTAATCAAATGACGTAATATCACAATTTTTTAAAACTCTGGTGTGGTGAAAATTAAATCTGTGCTTATAAATATTCACTTAGTAGCACTCGAATAGGAGTTTTTTCGCTAAAAAAAAAAGGAAACTTATGCATTCACGAAGTTTTGTCACGCATAGCATTTTTTTTTTATGCAAATAATCGGATTTTCATTTAAAAAATCGTAAAATTGTATGAATCATATTGATCTTATTGATGCTATGTAACTTTGTGTAAAATATGGTGCATGTAGATATGTACTATACTAATTTAATAACATTTAACAATGATTCACTTTTACTATATGTAGTAATATAGTGCATTAAATTTGCCGTAGTTAGTGATTTCAATGTTTTTTTACTATTTATATTAATTTGTATTACAATCTTTGCAGATGACTATCAAAACAATTACTAGGAATGGTGACTTACATTTCGCATAATTTTTTTGTAGTATAATGTTGTGTTTCGTGTTCCAGATTACAGATGTCGCACTTCAAAAATACTAATCATCAGGAACTGACTTATGCATCAGATACATAACAGATAAGGTAAATTTATAATAATTAAAGGATTTGTTCAAATCTATTTTGAAATCAAATATGTATAACATTAATTAATTTAATAATTTTTAGCCGATCTATTATTTACTATATATGGATATGTGGCATAATGACTATGTATCTTTGTATGTATGTACGTATGTACATGCGCGAACTTGATTGTATCAAATTTTCCATAAAAATTTTTCCGTATAAAAGTTAGATCGTGTTATTTTTTCTTTATTATTTTGTATGGGTTGTACAAATTTTCATTTACCCTTTATAAGTTATTTGAAATTGTTATTGCAATTTTAAATACAAATACAATTATATGTTTAATATACAAATCCAGGTGTGCAAGTTGAAATAATGATAAAAAAAAAGCTTCTTAGTTTCCTTTTTAGTCTCTTTATTAGTCTCTTTGTTAATCTTCTTACTTCTAGATTTACTAATACATTATTTTCTTTTTACTTCAATCGAATTTTCTTATTGGATCATGTGAATTGATCATTAAAGATAATAATGAAATACAGTGCACAAAATTTATTATAAAACATCGGAAATTCCTTTTTTGATATGACAAAATTCTACGGCGCAATTTGAAATTTTTCGCGTTAATTTTATTGGCTATGAGTTTCTAAATTCAACTTAAAATTAGTTGTTTACATCGTGCATAATTTTGCGCATAATAAAAGATCTAAAGTATAAGTGTGGCATGAGAGTGTGTGATTATCGCTATGTTACACAAATCGAATCTTATTGTTTCAATGGTTTAATATTAGGCACCCACCCCTTAAATGTGTTCTAATGTTCTAGATTGAATGCTACTTATTATATTAAAGTAATTTACGCAAATTAAATTTTTTAAGTTATTATTTATCAAACACAAATTATAATTAAATTATAAATTTTAATAAAATTAAAACCCATTTTCAAGATATCTAAAAGTTATTTCTATCTGATTCAACAAATTTCTCTTCATTTCTTTATACATTTATAGTATTTTTGTTGTTCAAATTTAAACTATTTATATGTTTTTTTTTTATAATCTACCGTAAACCATATCTTAACACTTCCCTAACTAACCATCAGAAGTGATTCACTTTTAAAAGCTAACTTTATAAGCTTTGGTAACTATACATACATACCTTCGAAATTACTGAACAAAGTATTTCATATTCTGCAATGTATAAATTACAAATTAAAAATTACTTGGCAGATTACAAAGCACAAGATGGAAATTTTCTACGAACGTGTGATAAGTAAACAGATAAATCGTACAACCTCCCTAGTGTCACAAACTTAAATTCTGTTCAAATTAAATTTGAAGATCAGATGTAGAGACCCCAGTTTATGCGATTTGAAAAGCATTTTCGTGCGAGGTGATAATTTCAAATTGTGCGATATTTATGCGAGGAACCATATACATATTTCGTATTGTTATAATTTTAATCTATCATTGTATAATGTGATAATTATGGGTTTAAAGCAATTTAACAATTATATACATATGCTTTTATTATTCGCTTAAAAAATGCCCGCACAAATGTCGCATAAATCTCGTAAAAACAATAACAATTAATGGCATTTTATGCGCCTATTATGTGATCGCATCTGTCCGTGGTCTCTAATCAGATGTAACACAAATTCAAAACAAAATGGGGCGTCGTCAATAAAAACGTCTAAAAATAATATGTTTTGTAACAATTTATTTATCGTTATTGTTTTGTCATTAATAATTCTGTGAGATCATGTTACAATTAGATATGTCGGAATTTTTTATAATTTTGTGTAACATTTTTTTAAAATTATCATTAATCACGTTTTGATTAAAATCCTCGGTGGTAGGGTCTTATAAACCGATTGATTAATGTGGCTTATTATTACACAATAAATAATATAGCACACCGATATGAGCCATACATAAATTTGATTTACATAGTGATAGGGAAATAGTGTCGGCTTACGAAAAGCTTCATCACATCACCCGTCTTTCTAATAAAATTCCCTAATAAATGACAAACCTTCTTTAAAATGAAGCTTTTATTATTATAATTATTGTATTATATTATTATTATTATTATTAGTTTTCTCCATCAGCCAATCAAATACTTTCGGGAGGTAAAGCTACTTCGGGTAATTTTGGGTAAACGTGTCCAATAGAAATAAATTGTAAATAATAGATAAATTGTATACAGACTAGAAATGAATTGATTTTGTTTACTTTGTGGAATTATTCGTTGTAGTTCATCATAGGTTTCGCAATTCATCAACGATATCATTTATTAATCGGTCATGTGTTGAAGCATTAAGATTGGTTCGTCCATAATATGACATTTACAGCACACATGTTTCCAAGCCAAAAAATACAACTAATTATGTGTCATTATGCAAATTAAAGGCTGTCAAAAACATGTGTGCACTTTTTTTTGAAGTATAATTAAGCAGATTAAACCTATTGATAAGCATATCAACACATGTATAGAGCTGAATAAAATCTGTTTGCATATTCTTGATTTATTTGCAGTGCCTGGAGTTGTACTTAACTGAAATTAACCCCTGAAATTAGATCATCTTTCATACGTTAAATAGTAATTTTAGCAATTTTTTAGGCTAGTGTAACTTCAGGCAGGCACATACATATTCACACTATTCCTTTTTTCGTTATAATAATATTTCTCTGGTAAACAGTAGACGGGATAAACTGGTTTTAGCCCAGGATATCCTAATAATCATAACCCGATAAAAAGTCGTACAATAAATAATAAATAAATAAACACGCTAGATTAATAGTTTTCATTATACAATCATCAAACAAATTCTACAAGTCAGTGAGTATGTTCTACTCTAATATTTTAAGTTTCTATAATTCAATGAGTAGGTTCTTGTGCAACTCATTTTGCATTTAAATATCTTATAATGAGCAATTTTAATGTGGAACATGAAGATCACTATACTGCGGAGAATTCACGATAATTCCCAGATTTCTAGAGTTTTTAAGACCCGGTATTTTTAATTTTTACTAAGCAGAATTTACACATTCTTCGATTCCCCACATGGGTATATGGAAATTGTTTTCCACATCTTTTTGAAAACAGCTGTAATACCTTAGGGAGATGGCCAAGAGGAAATCTCCCTAACCTTTTATTTCCCGATGTTACATACTACGTAAAATTTCATCATAAGAATCGCGTTAATGCTGCAATAACCTTAACACAATTATTGTCGTGCTTTGATACAGTACATAACAATACTAGTTAGATGTTATCAAATATATGTATATGTTGTGCCTCAGATCGCTTCTCGCCTCAGGTGTCGATCATCATTTGAGGTGCGTAACCTATCGATCGATTACCTGAGGTACCTCGATCGTCATTTGAGGCACCTCGATCGCAACTTGAGGCAATTATATAAATCAATCGGAAATAAATAATTTATATTTAACGAATTTAATAACGATAATTTTAAATTGTTCAATTAAATAAAATATAATTTTTATTGCAATATGAAATCTTACATTAAATCTGCTTGTACAAATCTAATTTTTATTAGAACACGATTTCCCGCTATGACATCTACTTGTACAATTTCCGCCATTTTTTCTGCATCTACACTTTTTACTATTACAAGAGCCCTTGCAATTACAAATTGCACTTGATAATAATCCTACACTTTGGAGCCTTCCTGCTTCTCGAACAGATAATCTACCTGAAGGAATTTCATCAAGTTCGGGACAGGTTGTAGTTCCTAGTGCTTCAAGTTCACCTGAAGAATAACAAACATTGATTATACCGGATTTGCATCCTAAGCGATATAGCTCACCAACTTTTTCTAGAATCTTACAGGGAAGTGTAGGACGATCGATTCCAAATCGATCAATCTTTGGAATAGTAAGCCTTACAAAGTCACCAACATGAAAATCAACAACCTTTCTTTTTTTAAGCATTTGCTTTGTCATTTTTTCATTATAAAGTTGAAGATCACGTCGTGCAGTAGTTCTTAAGATTTCATGTCGTGTGATATTAGAGTTTTGGTCTGTAATATCAGAAAGAACCTGACTATTCTCAATCTGCTGACATGATTCTAAACCAATAAAATAAATTAATAATAAGAAAATAAAATAAATCATAATGAAAATAAACTTACCCATATTGTTGCCACCATTACTCTGGTATGATTGCTCTGGGCTTTTATCTAGATTGAGAAATAAATTAATAAATTTATATTAAAAAAATATATTTATCATTAAATAGATAACTTACTCATATTGCTACTACCGTCATTACTCTGCTGTAAAATTTCCGGGCTTTTGCCTGAATTGAAAGCATAATTTAATAAAATTCATATTAAAGACAAAAAACTATTATGTAAATAGACTTACCCATATTACTGCTATTGTTACTATTATTCTGGGATAAAGGTTCCGGGCTTTCATCTAAATTTAGAACCTAAGTTAATAATTTTTTTTTAAAAAAATAAATGTATCAAGATAATTTACCCATATCACTATCATTGCTGCTATCACTATTATATTGGTGTAAAAGTTTTGGGCTTTTATCTAAATTAAAAAAGTTAATTTTTTGAACTAAAATAAAAAACTATATATAAATAAACCTACCTACATTATTATTATTATTGCCGCCATTCTTGTTTTGGCATGAAAGTCTCTTTAAATTGCTGCTGCTAACGTTGTACTGATGTAAAAAATCCAGATTGTTATTTGAATTAAGAATATAGTAAATTATAATATTTAAAAAATAGAAGTACAAAGAATCTATATTAAATTACCTATACTACTATTGCCTCCATCACTATAGTACTGCTCTGCTGAATTTTCATCTAAATTAAAAGTTTAAAATAAATATTTAAATTAAAGCTAGAAACTTAAACCATTTAAAAAAAAAGATTAGTTACTCAGGTCAATATTATTATTGCCGCCATCATCATGGTGATATAAATATTCTGGGCTTTCTATTTAAATCGAAATCTTATTAAAAAAAATAAAATAAAAATTTTTTGAGAGTATATTTACTCATACTACCACTGTTACTGTTGTTTAACTCTTGATAAAATTAATTTAAAAAAAAATTAGTATAAGTCAAAATCTAGACTATAAACTACAAAGTTATACCTTCCATATCACCGTCAAGATTCATAATTAAATTGGCTTGAATGTCAATAGTATTTGGTATGTCTTCTTCATTAGTAATGTTTTTTTCAAACAATTCATTAATTAATGTACAGTTGTTACGAGGACAATCACCATAAACAAGTTCAAAAGGTGTCTTTTTATATCATGAACCATTAATGGCTGAGATTACAAATCTTAAACCAAACAACCAGTCATTGCGACCAGTTTCCTCCTTCCATTTTCCAAGCTTTTGTTCCAATATTCCATTTGCACGTTTTACAAGTCCTTGAGATTGGGGATGCCTAGGGCGTCCATTGATAACTTTGATTGATGGCCATAATCCAACTAGTTCTTTAATGACTTGTACACAGAACTCTTTACCATTATCAGATTGGAGTATCATGGGAGAAGATTCTATCATATGGAATAAATCAAATAGATATGCAGCAACTTCAACTGCTCTTTTTGATGTAATTGCTTTTGCCCATGAAAAGCGTGTGAAATGATCATGCACATGAAGAATATATTTAAATTCACCATCTGGATCATAAGTCATATCGATTAAATCCATCTAACAATAAATAAATTTTATTAAAAAAATTATTTATAAAAAATAATTTATTTATTATAGTATTACCTGAAGACAAGATAAAAAATTATTTGCAATTATTGGCTTTGTGGCTAGAAGATGGAAAGATGGTTTTCTGACAGCACAAATTGCACAATTATTGACAAATTTTTTGATTATATCCTGTTTTATCCAACCCCACCTTTCTCGTATTGCTTTCCATGTTTGTTTTTGGCCGCCATGTTGTGTAATTTGACTATAAGTTTGGCATAATACCTTATACATTTTTTCAGTAACTAATACTGGATTGTTGGTGGCTTTTACTAAGACTCTGTAGTCTCCAGGAACCACCTCTTCAATGCAAAACTGCTTCTTAGCCCAGATCCGGTGTTTTTGTTATATAATGATTTTTTTGAAGGTCTAATAAAATGTCCTTGATTTTACTTAAAAGTTCATAGTTTATTAGTGCTTTTCCACGTTTTGACACTGAAAGACTAATTACATAGTCCTCAAGAATTTGATCAAGAGTGCCTTTGGTTATAAACTATAGTCCATTTTGAATGAAAAAAATATCTAATATGTTAAAGAAGACGAAAAGTTTATAACTAAAAAAAAAAAAAAAGCCAAAGGCTTTTTAGACTCCACTTTGACATAATTATAAATTACATCTTTACAATTAAAAGTTAAAAGTTTCTTGATATCGATAATGATTGATTATCTTGCCTCAAGTGATGATCAAGGTATCTCGGGTAACTGATCAATAGGTTACGCACCTCACATGATGATCGACATCTGAGGTACCTCAGTCATCACCTGAGGCAAGAAGCGATCTGAGGCACAACATATATATGTTAGATGTCACTTTTAAATTTCCGTCAATTAAAAATTGACGTACGTAGCTTCGGAATTGCAAATTAAAGTACTTCATATTTTAATCGGTATCGGCATGATTTTATTGATTAAAAAAAAAATTCGCAACGCAAGCAAATTATTTTTATTTAATTTCCATTACGATTGTTAAAATCTACATCTTGAAGATTAAACAACTGCTAAGCGCTATATGATTTTTGCATGTACCTCGGTGAATGCAACCACACAAAAAGTACAAAAAGCATTATTCTTACAACGAGACAACTCCTACTTTCACAATTTGGTTTATTACAATGACAGCCATCATTTTTTTTTAAACCTTGTTCAGTTTCTTGGTTGAATGTTTCATTTGTAATATTTAGTGGTCAGGTTAAGTTTTGTTGAGCACTAGTATTTCGTAAAGAAATAAATTTGCCTATTGAAATTACATCAAGTTCAAAAAATTCATCAGTATCTAAGGGTCCTAATTCGTTTGCTAAAAACCATGTATCCAAAATTCCAAACTTGCTTCCAATGTCTACCATTTTTAGCCTATCAATATCAGGAATCCAAATCACCAGATTTCAAATTTATTAGTTTTATATCGTTTTTCCATTAAGATTATAAATCATTTGACAGTTCTGAGTAATATGTCGATTTGCTAACGCTATTAATTTAAAAGTATTAAGAACCCAATATTTAAAATTCGAATTTTCATGTTTGCTTGACGGGTTTTATAAAATAGCCAGGCAATGATCATACTTTGAACGATTCATTCTGTCTTTCATTTTTCTATTGTTTATGTAATCATCAACAATTTTTTGAAAGCTTTGAAATGAAAGAAACGAGAAGAATTTGAAGTCATATTATGGAAGATAAAATAACAAAGAACTTTTTTTTTTTTTTATGATCAATCTAATTTATTAAACTCTTATATTAAACTTGTGTTTAATTGACGTACGTATGTTTTACATATTAATCAGTATAATTTTTAAACTACATATGTTACTTTTAATCGGTATAAATTTTAAACTCAGGTACGTTTATTTTGAATTAACGGTTATTTAAGAGCAACATACAACATATATATATATATATATACGGATAAGTAGCATAGCGGAAGTTCATTTTGATTGGTTGTTAAAATACCCCGGAAAAATGTAGATCATTCCTGGATAAAGTATCAGCTATACCCCGGATGAAATTTTATTACTCATGAAACTTTCAAAAGACTGGTCAAATACTTTCTAAAGGCATGTATTGTAGTCTTACAATCATTAATTTTTGATTTATAATAACTAATTCATATTTCACAATGTTTAAAATATATTCATTCACAATAAGTATACTATTTATTTGACAACAAATACTTTAAGTTTTGTGACACAATCTAACTTACATGAACATTTCTAAACACTGCTATATAAAACTTTGTATTTATGAACTCTTATAGTCTAAATATAATAAAAAAAAAGAATTTGGAATATTAGTTCCAAAAATACATAGTATTTTTTACTTATAGAAAGCAAGAAGAACAAGTTGAGACAAAATCTTGTAACTTTTACTTACTAATTGCTTAGGTTGCCAAAACACCTTCTAACTTTTCAAAACTTTCACTTCTTATTTAGTTTTTGAAACTACTGCATTCTATTGCATCCCAAGTTAAAAAACAATAAAGCAAAAGGTAAAATATCAATGACTCAAGTCAGTTGCTACATTATATATTACAAAAAAAATTTTTTCATATAGCATAATGATTTTTATTTATAAAAGTACTTTAAAAATTACAATTGCCTATATAAAAAAAAAGATCATTACTAATCAAAATTACTCTTATTTTAGCCAATCAAAACAACTTCTACTATGCTCAAAAAAGAGTGCAAAAATATATACTGAATTAAGAAGAATTATACTTAATTGATGATTTGCTACTCAACAGAAGCATGATCTTAGTAAAATATGACTCAGATTACTATATAAATTTACTATAGTGCAAAGATAAGCTTTACAACTTTCAATTAATTAACAAGATCGATTATCTTAATATGAAAAAAGTTTACTTTAGATGATCACCACATTTGCACTATAGTAAATTTATATAGTAATTTAAGTCATATTTTACTAAGATCATGCTTCTGTTGAGTGGCAAATCATTAATTAAAGCAGATATAAATATAGCTAGATATCTTGAATTCAAGAATCCTGAATTTATTGTAACAATTAGCAGTACAATAGATCATTATGAGTGATTACAAAAACAGAAACATTAAGGCAAAATACTTTTAGCAGAAAAGTTTGTGTTTCTAGGAGAAGTAATAGAAATATCAACATATACAAAATTAAAAAAAGCAGTACAAACTTATATTAACTAAACCACCTCTACAATAATAGCTATTGATTCAGTAGAGGATAAAATCCTACAAAAAACTAAGAAGCTAAAGAGAAAAAGGAAAAAAATAATAATATAGAGAAATTAGAAGTTGAAAACAAAGAAGAAAAACTATTAAAATCAAACTAGCAGAAATAAATTTAAATAAAAGTGAAATAGATATATTAATTGATGATCTGTGAGTCAATTAGAGAAAATGATCTATATTTACTAAGTAATTGTGATGCAAATTAATTAATAAAAATCCCAGTTTGTAAATGTGAAGTTTTTTTTATATCATATATTAGATACGTATGTATGTATGTATGTACAGTATATACTTTACTTTCACTATACCAAATTCTGTTAAAGTGGCTCCTTTATTATATGTAGCAAAGTAATTTTCTAAGTATCATATTTTACTATTTATACAATAATAAATATTTGTTATAATAGTTCTAACCCACTCACCATTATACAGTAACTTGTAATTAACTTTAACCTGCCTGTAAGCTAATAAGCAAATTAGTAGATTTGTCAAAATAAAAGTTTTGCTGCTATTTTGTAATCTAAAAAAAGCTTATTTTACTGGCTTGCTTACCACTTAAAAAAAACCAAATCTACTTATTAAGATCTAATCTAAGACTTTTTTAAAACCAATTCCACCATTTGTATAAACCAACTTTCCCGATTTATTATATTTATAGTTTAGAACTGGCTTATTTGTAGCTTAGAGCCAGCCTACCGATTCATAGCTTAGAGCCAGTCTACCAATTTATAGCTTAGAGCCAGTCTACTGATTTATAGTTTAGAATTAGTCTATCATTTCATAATTTAGAACTAGTCTCCTGAATCTAACTCAATTAACCAACTAGTAAAACCCATATTGTATTTAAAATTTAAAATAAAAATAATTAAATCTTAAAAATAGTAGATTTATATTAAAAACAACTATTTATTTATTTTATTTATTTTGTATACTCCTATAAATACAGTATTACACTTGCTCTAATTAAAACTAATTCAACTTGATTCTTAAAAAAAAAAAAGCAAATAAAAGTCAAATCAAGATCATAAATACTTATTTCTATTGCGCAATGCATAAATCACATTATTTAGT